GTTTTTCTTTCCCTTTGGTCATTCCTTCCTCCTGTTTCTGAGTCCTCCTGGCTCTGCACCTTCCCAGGGAGCCTGGTGGGTTCCCTGAGGCCACACAACTGATGGTGCCCAGTCCTGCGCCCGTCAGAGGTGTGTGGCTGTGTCCGGGCTCTGCAGACACCTGTTCCCCATGGGAATAGCTCCAGCCCAAGCCCACTGTATCCGTGGGCCCTTGTTGGCTTTGGACCATGCTCTGTGCTGCAGGAAGAGATTCTGGATGGTGCATGGATGGAGGGGGGCTGGTCGGTCCCACCCTGTGCATCCCTGTGTTTCCCCTCAATGCTTGTCCAGGTCTGATGTCAGGCAGCTGAGTGGTTTCCTGTGTTTCATGGCACGCGTGGTCCCATGAGCTGCTCTCAGGAGGGGTGTTAATGGGGCGGCAGCAGCTCTGTCTAGAGCACCCTGTGATGCCCCATGGGACTTCAGCAGTGTCGCTTTACACTTGTCCAGGTGCCAGCAGTGCTCCCGCTGGAGCTGCTCTTAGGAAGGTTTCAGCCCAGTGTCACCCCCCTGTCCCCGTGCACCCACAGGTAGGGTCCTGGCCCTCGCCCCCCACACCGCTGCAGCCCTGCTCCATGGGATGTGGCTCATCCATGTTCAATGTTCCACCTTGGAGCAGCCATCTCAGCCGCTCGCCCGGGCAGGAGCCGTGGTGAGGAGCGAGCAGAGAGCTCACCGTGCCCAGCACAGAGCAGTGTTACAGACACCTCTCTGCTTCACCTGCCCGTGCCTGCTCCCGTCTTAGCCCGAGGCACTGCAGTCACCTGCTGGAGGTGGTGAGAGGTGCCGGAGGACCCCGACCGACCCATGGTGGCTGCATCACCTTCCCTGGTGCTCTGACCTGGGCTGTTCCCTTGGGAAGCTGCATTATCCTCATGCATGGTCCCACTGAGCTGTGCTGTGGAGCAGGGGCTTGAGGGGCAGAGCACCTGTGGCTCCCCTTGGAGGGCAGTGAATGTGCTGTCTGTGGGGTGAGGATGGGCCCACAGGGCTCAGGCTGCTTCTGCAGTGGGGCAGCACATGCTGGAGGTGACTCTGCCCCTCTCCTCGGTGTCCTGCATGGCACTGGTGTGGTGTTGGTGTGGCACTGGTGCACTGACTATGTACTGGTGCTGCAGTGATGCTGCACTGATGCTGAACTGGTTCCCTGCTGACGCTGTCCTTGCTCTCTTGTCCACAGGTTGATGAAGAGGGAGCGCTGTGACCCCGTGCCCGTGCCTCTCATTCCAGGTAAGCTCTGCCCTCTCCCTAGGGAGCACCTCGGGAGGTAATGGCAGAGGCTGGGGCTTGGGGTCCAGCACTCATCCTGGGGTGGGGTGACCTGTCCAGGACACTGGGACAGAGCCCCCGGCGCTGGTGCTGGGGGCAGAGCTGAGGATGCAGGGGTTGGGGTGAGATCAGGCTGTGAGTGGTGCAGGAGAGGGTCCGAGTCAGGGGTGGGTCATTGCTACGTGATGTGTTTGAGGAGATGTCAAGGGGAGAGGTCCTGGGGGGATGGACCAGCCAGGTCTGCACAGGCCCATCCTGCTGGTGTCCCTGCCCGTGGCAGGGGGTTGGAATGGGACGAGCTTTAAGGTCCCTTCCCACCCAAACTTGATCAAGTTCTGTGATTCTAAGTCCATCCTGCCTGCTCCCAGAGCACATCCGTGACTTGCAGGTCCCAAACCCGTTGTGTGGCAGTGTCACAAGAACACTTGGAGCAGGTCACTCCACAGCAGACAGCTCTGTCCTGGTCCTTCTCCCTCCACAGCAGATCCTGGCGGGAGCAGGGCCATGGAGCTGGGCCTGGCTCAGCAATCCCGGTTGCTTCTCCTGTTCCCAGCCCTGCAGGGGAAGGTCCTTCCCTCCCTGTGCAGCAGGAGCCCAGGTCTGTGGGGCACGGGGAGGTTGTTCATCATCACCAGGTGCTGCCCCTGCTGTGCCCATCCTGTGGCTGCTGCCTGGACCCTCTTCCCAAGCAGGATGGGAGCAGGAAGGGGAGGGATGCCGAAGGGATTAGTCCCAGACAGGCAGATGGAGGCAGCGTTATCCTATTAGGCAGGAGCTAAGCGGGAGCAGCTCAGGGTGGTGGCGGTGCAGGATGTTCCTGTGGGCTGGTGGCCACCCCGGCACCAGCTCTGGAGAGTGTCTGTGCCAGGCGGCCCCGAGCCCTTGGGAACAGGTCAGAGCCGCACCGAGGCGCGGGCTCAGCACCCCTGCGCTCTGCTGGGGGGCTTGGGGGAGCCCCAGAGGGGCTGGGGTGGTGCTGGCGCTGTGCTGGGACAGGGACCCACTGCAGTGAGGCTGGGTGAGGGCACGGGGATGGGACCGCGCTGGTGCTGGTGGTGAGAACGGGGAGCAGGTCCTGCACAGCGGGTTTCTTGCTTCTTTCTGCCGTGGGTCTGTGCTCCACGTGAGGACACAGAGGAGCTCGTGAGTGAGGGCGGGATGTGTGAGAACGTAATGACTGGGCTTCCTTGTCCTTGGGCTGCGGCACCCTCCCGGGCTGCGCTGACCTGCAGGGGTGCCCATGACAGGGGCTGGAGCTGGAGGAGCTGTAAGGTCCCTTCCAACACAAACCAGGCTTGGGACCCTGTGACTGTGTGTGCTTTCTGCCAGGGCCTTGTTCCTCCTGGCTGTGTCCTCGTGTGTCCGTCCAGGCATGATCCTTTCCTGCCCTGAGATTGTGCCTGTGTGTCCTTATGCTCTGGCTCCATGTGAGGAGCTGACGGGTTCAGTGACCTGTGGGATGGGAGGAGATTCCAGTCCACCCCATGCACATGGAGGAGATGGCAGAGGGCAGGACCCGGCACCGCGCAGGGCACACATGCTAGGATCAGGGACCCCAGGGCAGGATCAGGGACCCCAGGGCAGCATCAGGGACCCCAGGCAGGATCAGGGACCCCAGGGCAGGATCAGGGACCCCAGGGCAGGATCAGGGACCCCAGGGCAGCATCAGGGACCCTGCAGGGCATGCAGGGCCTCGCATGTGCTCGGTGGCAGCGTGTTGTGCTGATGGCAGCATGTTGTGCTGGTGACAGTGTGTGGCTCTGGTTTCCATGGTGACTGTGTTCAGTGATGTTCCCATGGCTACACCCGTGCTCAGTGGCTGCGGGGGGAGCACGAAGCCCCTGGATCCCAGTGCATCCCGGTGAGGCTGCCCCATTGAGCCCTGCTCCGGGGTGGCAGAGGCTGCAGGGGCAGGGTTCAGTGCAAGGAACAGATCCCGAGAAGTGGCATGTGACAGGAGCCTGGATTTGGGAGGCTACAGATGCTCTGTAAGGTCCCTTCCAGCCCTAACCTGGGATTCTATGGTAGAGGCACCGCCAGGGCTGTGTGTGCAGTGTCATGGGGCTGGTACTGACTTCCTACCCCAGGCCTTCACTCCTGCTCCTGTGTCAGTTTGCTCTACAGCACAGCAGGAGGGGTAGCTGCCTTCAGGGCAAACCAGGCTGGGACATAACCTGGGCCCGCAGCGTGGCTGTGATGGGGAGGGACGGGGCTGGGAGAGTGGATCCATCCTGGAGCTGGGGATGTGCGACCTGGAGCTGTGCAGGCTGTGACCTGCGGGAAAACCAGTGTTCAGGGACAGGGGTTCCCAGTGCTCGTCCTGTGGGGACTGGGGTCCAGCTGGGACAGTGGCTGGAGAGAGCAGGAAACTTTGTCTTGGCCGAGTGAGGCTGAACAGACCTATTCTGTGTTCCATTCTGGACCCCTCACTACAGGAGAGACACTGAGGTGCTGGAGTGGGGCTAGAGCAAGGCAATGGGGCTGGTGCAGGGCCTGGAGCACAGGGGTGATGGGGAAGGGCTGAGGGACCTGTGGGGTTCAGTGTGGAGAAGAGAAGGCTCAGGGGGGACCTGATGGCTCCCTACAAGTGCCTGAGAGGAGGATGGAGCCAGGAGGGGCTGGGCTCTGCTCCCAAGGAACAAGGGATGGGACAAGGGGAACCGGCCTCAAGCTGCACCAGGGCAGGTTTAGATGGAGCTGAGGAACAATTCCTGCCCCAGAGGGTGCTCAGGCATTGGAACAGGCTGCCCAGGGCAGGGCTGCAGGCACCGTCCCTGCAAGGGTTCACACCCCGTGGAGACGAGGCCTCAGTGCCATGGGTCAGTGGTGGCCTTGGCAGTGCTGGGAACGGTTGGACTGGATGAGCTTAAAGGGCTTTTCCCCCCTGGGTAATTCTATCATTCCCCAGCAGGGAATCTGCTCCTGTGGTTCCTCAGTGCTGCACTCACTGGTGGCTGGGCTCTGGGCTCCTTTCCTGCAGCAGATGCAGGCAGCGAGGGGCAGCTCTCAGGAATCCCTGTGCCCAGCACTATCGCCCAGCACCCCACAGACAGGATCCCTGTGTGGGCACAGGATGCTGCTCCTCATCCCGCTGCTCTCTCTGGGGTCAGCACCACTCTGCAACCCCTGCCTGCTGGGGCAGTGGGTTTGCTCCCATGAGCAGTGCAGTGGGACTTGCCCTTTAATCATCCACATATCCCAGGTGATCCAGTGACCCTGAAAAAAAGGCAAAGGGAAAATCCATGGGCATTAGCATTAGCCATCAGGTGCTGTAGGACACCGCTGGCAGGCGAAGGCGGATCAATGGGCTCCGCTCCTGCTGCTCATGAGCTCCCTCCATCCCGAGACTGTGGGGCGAGTGCTGTGCCTGCCCTGCCCTGCGCTATGGGTCAGCTCTGGAGGCCAGGGCAGCGGTGGCAAAGGGCAGGGCTGGGCTGGTACAGACCACGCTGCCGTTGACGTGGCGCTGGGACGGAGCCACGGCAAACACCGGTGCTGGGTGCCCTGGACCTGCTTGTGCCAGATAAGCACCGAGGGCGGCTCCGGCGCTGCGGGGCCCTGGCGCTGGGCAGGACACCAGGACCAGCCCTGGGTGCTGGGAGCGTGGCCGGGGGAGCCCTGGGCTCCTGACACAGGTCAGGTGTGCGGTGGGGACAGAGCCCCCCCAGGGAGCCCGTCCGGTGCCTGTCCCCGTGTCCGTGCCTGCGGGCACTGACCGCAGCCCTGATCAACCGGTAACGCTGGGGCTGTGCCGGAGGAGGCTCTGCTGGTCCATGGGCTCTGCCTGCGGCGAGCATGAGCGCTCGGACCCACTGAGGTGGGGGTGCTGAAGGGGCTGGGGGGCTGCAGGCAGTGCTGGAAGCGTGACCAGGGGCTCCCGGTGCTGGGAGCAGTCGGGAGTGGGAGCAACTCCCGTGATGGAGCCTGGAGCGGGCTCCCAGGGGGAGCCTCTGGAGCGAGCATGGCTCCGGTCTGTAGAGGGGGGCTCTGAGGCAGGGGGGATGCTGGTGTGGGCGGGTGGATGTGCCCTGTCCCAGTGCAATGCCTCGGCGCTGGTCTGGAGCAGAACCATGTAATAGTTCAGGTTGAAGGAACTTTAAAACTCAACCATTTCCACCCCCCTGTGTTAACAGGGACTCAACTGCAACAAATCCCAACCCCCAGCAACCTCTCTAATCATTAGGGCAGAAATCCTGACTCGTTTTTGCTCTCTGACATAATGAAGATTAGTTAATGCAAATCATGTATTTGAACCGGACAGGTCAAGAGTTTCCCTTCACCAGCTGCCTGATGCTATCCTAGGATTAGAACTATGGAATCACAGAACCCCAGACTGGTTTGTGTTGAAAGGGATTTCCAACCCCTGCCACGGGCAGGGACCCCTCTCTGGACACAATGAATATTAAATTAGTTAATGCAAATCATGTATGTGTGTTGAACCAGAGACGGAGAGGGTGAACCTGGAAACCAGGCCATTGCAAAAGCAAGGAAGGGTCAGAAACAGCTTTCCAGAAAGAGGGGAGGGTGCGAGGGCAGACCTGGAGGAACACCAGCTGTCCCTGGGGATGGGGTACCTCCTGCAGCCCCCAGCCTCGGCTGCAGGACCCGGGGCTGATGCTGACACCTCCCACTCTGGGCTGCCTTTAGCTGCACCAAACTGCCCTTCCCTGCCACAGGAGTAGTTCCAGCCCGGCTGCTGCTTCCTGCTCTTCTTGTGACCCGGGGCTGCTGGTCTTCACGTCTGACCTGGGGCACCTTCTGGGGTCTCACTGCTGTGGTGCTAGTGCTGAGCAGTGCTAGCGCTGCTCATTCCCAGGGTTTCCCAGCAGGATGCTTCCCTCCAGAGCAGTGATAATGCAGTAATACACAGTGTGGTGGCCACGGTTCTCTTATCTCTAACCCAGGGGGATCCGGAGGCCTGATGGATGCCAGTGGGTTTGAGCAGCGTGGGATGATCCCTGTGCCATGGCTGCCTTGTCACAGGGATGTGGGAAGTGGCTTCGGCTCTGTAGCCCCAGGGACAGGGGAGTGGGGCAGCCCATAGGGGAACACTGATCCCACTGCATGAGAAGTAACGGGGGCTCAGCTTTACACCGTGCTGTGGGGGCTGCTGTGTGGTGACCCAACCCAACTGCTCCGCTCTGGGTTTCGCTCACTGGTGCTCCTGTGGCACGTGTGGGAGCTCTGCTGGACCAGGGAGGGGTGATGGACGCATCCCTGGTTTGTGCCTCTTGCTGGGAAATCCTCTTGAAAGGGTTTCTGACTCCTCTTGATGGTTTCTCACCGTTTTCCTGGGCTCGGAACGGGACTCTCTGGATTATCATTTCTGAGCTACTCAACTTGTATCTTTTCCTCCAAGATAAGGGATTTTTTTCTCGCCTCAGCAGAGAAGTTGATTCAATAAGCAAATGAATGTGAATGACTCTGCAAGTCTGTGATGGAGTTCGGGGGTGGCCACTGCATTTCCCAACCATTCACAGTTGTGGCTTAGACATTATTGGGAACTAATGAGGGGCCAGAAGATTGGGGTAAAAGAAGCAGGAATAATCCTGGCAATTACCATCTGGAGCGTTGGATTTCTCCCCTTAGTGAAGTAGCAAGACAGGAAACAGGGAAGAAAGGAACCCCATGAATGTCAGCAGTTGAACAGAGCTAGGGCAGCAGCATGTGGGCAGGGGGAGGGATGTCCCCGAGAGGCCATGAGTGGAGCCCACTGGGACCCCCCGGCTATGGGTGGGTTGGGGCAGCTCCTGCTGCCGAGCGGATGGAGGTTGGTGCCTGAGGCAGCGCCAGGGGGTGGTCGTGGTGCTCCTTCCCTGAATTCCCAGAGGTGGGAGCTGGGCCCCTCCTCAGAGGAGAGCTGGAGCTCCCTGCAGCTGCCTGAGAGGGGGATGGAGCCAGGATGGGGCTGGTCTCTGCTCCCAAGGACTTCAACCTGCCCGAGGGGAGACTGAGATGAGCTCTTAGGCAGAAGCTCTTCCCTGTGAGGGTGCTGAGGCGCTGGCACAGGGTGCCCAGAGAAGCTGTGGCTGCCCCATCCCTGGCAGTGTTCAAGGCCAGGTTGGACACAGGGCCTTGGAGCAAGCTGCTCCAGTGGAAGGGGTCCCTGCCCGTGGCAGGGGTTGGAGCTGGAGGAGCTTTCAGGTCCCTTCCAACCCAACGCACTCCGTGACAGGCAGAGGGACTTGTGTCTCCAGCGCAGGGCACAGGGCACAGCGCTGGTCGGAGGAAAGGAGGAGCCCGGAGGCTTTGGTTGCTCCTGGGCTGATCTCATTGTTTGTCAGGATCCAGACTTGGTTTCCGTTCTGGGGCTGGTGCCAGTCGCGGCGCTCGTTCTGCAGGACCCAGCACCGTGGGTGCAGCCTCCTCCACCAGTCCCTGTCCTGCAGCTCCAGCTGGGAATGCTGCCGGGGGCTCTCGCGGGTGCAGTGCCCTGGCCTCGAGGTGGAGGAAGAGCCGTTAGTCATTTCCTGGATGGATCCAGGCCATTCCCTAAAGCTCTCAGTGGTCTGGAGGCTGTTTCTGTTTGAGGATTGCCATGTAGATCAAAGTCTTCACTCCCAGCCATTGGTGGACGGGCCACAGCCCCAGGCACAGTCCTGCAGGGATCAGCCCATCTGCTCCTGTCCCAGCAAGGGAGCAAGGAGCAAGGGCTTGACCTGCTGGGCAGGGTCCCTGTGGCTGTCATCAGCTGGACACGGGCAGGAAGAGCAGCCCGTGGTGGGGGCTGCTTGTGTCCCTGCTCTGTGCTGGATCTCATGGAACCTGAGCCTGCCCTGGGTCAGTGTGAGTGCACGCGGTCCCCCTGAGACGGGTTTCTGGGACAGCAACACAGGTCAGTGTCCTCCCATTCCTGAACCCCTGGCACAAGGGTGCAGCTGCATCCTGCGGTTTGGGAACCCCCTGGCAGAGCGCTGGCTGGTGGGAGCTGCTGGAGCCAGGAGCATGGGGTTGGTCTGTGTGGGTGGGCACTGAGTGGTCACCACCTGGAGCAGGACATCAGGACCTCACAGAGGGCAGCAGGGCCAGGGCAGGGATTGTGCCCCTGCACTGGGCACCGGTGAGGCCGCACCTTGAATCCTGTGTTCAGCTCTGGACCCCTCACTGCAAGAGAGACATTGAGGTGCTGGAGTGGGGCCAGAGAAGGGCAGAGGAGCTGGTGCAGGGCCTGGAGCACAGGGGTGATGGGGAAGGGCTGAGGGACCTGGGGGGTTCAGTGTGGAGAAGAGAAGGCTCAGGGGGGACCTGATGGCTCCCTACAAGTGCCTGACAGGAGGATGGAGCCAGGAGGGGCTGGGCTCTGCTCCCAAGGAGCAAGGGATGGGACAAGAGGAAATGGCCTCAAGCTGCCCCAGGGCAGGTTTAGATGGAGCTGAGGAACAATTCCTGCCCCAGAGGGTGCTCAGGCATTGGAACAGGCTGCCCAGGGCAGGGCTGCAGGCACCGTCCCTGCAAGTGTTCACACAGCGTGGAGACAAAGACCTCAGTGTTGTGGGTCAGTGGTGGCCTTGGCAGTGCTGGGAAATGGTTGGACTGGATGAGCTTAAAGGGCTTTTGCAACCTGGTTGATTCTGTGATCAATACAGCATGAACAGTTGATAGAACCAGAGCCAGGAACTTTCCCTGTGAAACCCACAGATGGGCTGAGCCTGCTGGTCTCCAGCGTCCCTTGTAACGGGGAAGGAGCCAGGCAGGCCTTCAGACATGCTGGTGCAAATGTGGAGATGGAGAACCATGGTTGCAGGGGGGGGAACAGGGCTGTTCGGGAGATGGTGGTTATCCAAGATAATGGAGAGAAGATGGCTCTCAAACCAGCAGAGCAGCCCCCATAAGCTGGGACAACCTGTCCTCTGCCCCAGGGTGCAGTGTCCAGACCCTTTGTGCTGGCCCTGGTGGCCAGGGTGAGCAGAGGCTCTGGTGTCCATGTGCCTGGGGTGGGCTCAGCTGGGACAGGTCTGTGCTCTGCTGTGAGGATGAGGAAGGGTCCCTGCTGGGTGGCTGGTGGGACTCCGTGTCGGGGGTATGGAGGGGATGCAGTGGCATTAGACCTTGTTGGGGAGGGAGGGCACATGTGGGAATCTCTGTATGGTGGGGGGCTGCTTGGTGATGTCTGTCCCTGACATGGGGTTTCCCATGTACGGTAGGGGGGGTCAACACAAGGATCCCTGTGTGTGTGTGTGTGTGTGTGTGTGTGTGTGTGTGTGTGTGTGTTATTCCTGCCATGGGGAGCCCCATGGGGTGCCTCTATGAGATCCCTGCGTGGGTGACCGGGGGCTCCTTGGGGAGGGCCCCAAGATGGGGATCTCTGAGTGCCCACTCAGGGGTCCTGTAAAGGTCCCTGTGGCGGTGGCCGGGGTGCAGCGTGAAGTCCTTTGCTGGGGTCCCCCCGCAGGGGTGTCCACCTGCAGTGAGGGTCCCCAACGGGTCCCTGCAGGGGTGTCCGCCTGCAGTGAGGGTCCCCCCCGGGTCCCTGCAGGGGTGTCCTCCTGCAGTGAGGGTCCCCAACGGGTCCCTGCAGGGGTGTCCGCGTGCAGTGAGGGTCCCCAAGGGGTCCCTGCAGGGGTGTCCGCCTGCAGTGAGGGTCCCCAACGGGTCCCTGCAGGGGTGTCCGTGTGCAGTGAGGGTCCCCAACGGGTCCCTGCAGGGGTGTCCGTGTGCAGTGAGGGTCCCCCCGAGGTCCCTGCAGGGGTGTCCGTGTGCAGTGAGGGTCCCCAACGGGTCCCTGCAGGGGTGTCCGCCTGCAGTGAGGGTCCCCAACGGGTCCCTGCAGGGGTGTCCACGTGCAGTGAGGGTCCCCCCGAGGTCCCTGCAGGGGTGTCCGCCTGCAGTGAGGGTCCCCAACGGGTCCCTGCAGGGGTGTCCACATGCAGTGAGGGTCCCCAACGGGTCCCTGCAGGGGTGTCCGTGTGCAGTGAGGGTCCCCAACGGCTCCCTGCAGGGGTGTCCGTGTGCAGTGAGGGTCCCCAACGGCTCCCTGCAGGGGTGTCCGTGTGCAGTGAGGGTCCCCCCGCGGTCCCTGCAGGGGTGTCCGCCTGCAGTGAGGGTCCCCCCGCGGTCCCCGCAGGGGTGTCCGCGTGCAGTGAGGGTCCCCCCGCGGGTCCCTGCAGGGCGTGCCACCGGTGCCGGAGGGTCCCCCCGCGGCGCCTGCAGGGGTGTCCCGTGCAGTGAGCCCCGCCGCAGCCTGCAGGGGTGTCCGCCTGCAGTGGGGGTCCCCAACGGGTCCCTGCAGGGGTGTCCACATGCAGTGAGGGTCCCCCCGCGGGTCCCTGCAGGGGTGTCCGCCTGCAGTGAGGGTCCCCAACGGGTCCCTGCAGGGTGTCCGTGTGCAGTGAGGGTCCCCCCGCGGTCCCTGCAGGGGTGTCCGTGTGCAGTGAGGGTCCCCCCGCGGGTCCCTGCAGGGGTGTCCGCCTGCAGTGAGGGTCCCCCCGCGGTCCCTGCCGCCGCGCTGACCGCCTCTCCCCACCCGCAGGGCCCCCGGGCGGGCTGTGAGCGCGGCCACCGGTGCCGGTGCCGGTGCCGGTCGGGCCGCCCCGCCGCGCCGCACGGAGCATGCCTCTGAGCCCCGCCGGCAGCAAACATGAGAGCCCGGAGTCGCCGCCGCCAGAGCCGCCGCCGGAGCGACAGCCCCGTTCCGGAGAGCCGGGCGCCAGCCTGCGGGAGGATTCGCGGCTCGACCCGGCCCGGAGCCCCGCCGGGCCCCGCTCCCCCAAGCTGGCGGCAGCGGCGCGCATGGAGGAGCCCGCACCCGGCGCCATCGTCGTCCGCATCGGCATCCCCGACCTGCAGCAGACGGTGAGTACGCGATCGGCCCCGCTCCCTGCGCAGCCGCCCCGGCGCCACCCGGCAAACTTCGCACCGCCGCGGCGGCCGCGGGCCCGGCAGGACGGCTCCGGCCCGGACCCGCTCCGCTGCCCCCGCTCCCCATTGCCCCGGTGTCCCCTCTCCCCATTGCCCCGCTGTCCCCCCGCTCCCCATTGCCCCTCTCCCCGGTTTCCCGCTCCCCATTGCCCCGCAGGCGCGGACGCGGGTGCAGCCCCGCTGCAGCGCTGCTTTTCCGGGGCACAGCGCGGCCGGGGCGCTCCGGGGCTCCCGGTGCTGCCGCAGCCCGAGGCCGCTTCCACCGCCGGGGACCCTCATCGGCCCGGGACCGGCTGCGCTGCGCCGCCTGCCCCGAGCGCGGGGACAGCTGGGCTGGGCGAGGGAGCAGCCCCCAGCACGGGCAGGATGCCGGTACCAGCACGGCGCCAGCACCGGCTGGGCCGGACTGCGGGAGCTGGCGGGCGCTTGCCTGCAGACGGGACCGGGCAGGGTGCCTGCAGCCGCGTGTGACATGGTGGACATGGGCACCGTGCAGTGTTGGAGGGGTGGCTGCGCCACGGGGAAACGGGTGGCATGGAGGGGCGGAGGGTGACATGGTGATTGCTGACCCCAGGACGGTGGGTGTCCGTCACGGCACAGTGACCCACAGAGGCTGTAGGGTGGCTGTTGCTGACCGGGGCAGTGCTGGGGGTTACCTGGGGCATTGGGTGCAAGTGGTTCAGTGCTGGGAAGAAGTTTCCTGAAGGGTAGTGGTAGCTGTGGCCCTCACGAAGAAGAGCGTTCATGAGAGCTGGGAGCAGGGTTCAATGTTGGGTGGACTGAGAGGAGCCTGTGCTCTGGGGCAAGTCACTGTGGGCAGGAGATGGGGTGCCCCTGGGGGATGAGGGGTGCAGGAGATGAAACAGACATGGGGTGAACAGAGCATTGCTGGGTGTGGAGGGGATGAAGGCAAGTGAGAGCTCCCCTCATGGATGGGGAAAGAGCTCTGTCGGAGACTGGCATGGTTGCGGTGCTGCTCTGGTGCTGCTGGATAGGGAGCAGGCACGCTGGGGTGCTGGCGTGCTCCCAGCACTGCTCTGCAGGCTCGGCTGCCAAGCACAGGGCAGCAGCAGCATTGCCTTTGCTGTCGAAGAACTGGACTCAGGCTCTGCTCTAGCGAGTGCTGACTTTGTGCTGCAGGGAGGGCTCTGTCCCTGCTCCTCCTGCCCCAGCCCCTCCTGGGGTTGTGGGCAAGGGCTGGGTCTCTTTCCCTTCACATCAGCTCCTCCTTATTACCCCCCTGTGCTCATTCAGCCCTGATGCACAGCTCCAGATCTGGTCCTGCTCCAGCCTCACCCTGTGCGATGCAGCACGGCAGGGTCCAAGGGCTGTCAGCACGGGCCCCTGCTCTGCACATTGCCATGGTATCCACCTCTCTCCTCTGCTGTTCCTTGGGCACTGCTCCGCAGCTCCCTGCCCTGCCTTTGTTCTGGGAGTGTGCGTGGGCACGGGAGGGAGCAGCGATGCTGGAGTTCTGTGATGCTGCGTTGTAACCCCTTCTCCTTACACAGCCCCCGCTGCAACCCGCCGAGTCAGTGAAATAGCTCAGCCTGGAGGCAGGGGAAGGGATGGGGCAGTTCCTGCAAAGCTGGGTATCTTTGCACGGTGCAAAGCAGGAATCTCCCTCTCAGACCTCCCTTGCTCCTGGGGCAGATGCCTGTCAGAGAGCTGGAGGGTGGAAATGTCTCTGGTGCAACCTCTGAGCTGGGAGCCAGCACCCGCAGACCCATGGGCTGCCAGGGGCTGGGGGTGTTGCTCCCATGGGAGGGTCACTGTGGGGGGCAGGCAGCACTTTGGGGGCTGACAGGGTGCAGTGGGGAGCACTGGGGCCGTGGTGCAGTGCAGAGCAGCACAGTGCGTCCTGCCCAGCACCAGCATCCTGCCCAGTGCAGCCTGGTCCTTGTGCAGGGGGACCTGGCTCTGGTGCTGCAGGGTGAGGAGCAGGAGCTCCTGGGCTGTGCAGGGTGCCCATGGGCCGCAGGACGGTGCAGTGGGTTTCTGCCAGACCCGTGCAGCCCCACAGGAGCCCTGTGTGGTGCTCCCCTGCTGACACCAGCACCCAGACCCAGCTGTGCTCGGGAGGGGGTCAGGGCATCCCCTCCTGCAGACCAAGGCAGTGCATGCAGAGGGCTGCTGCATTCATGGCTCAGGTGCATTCATGGCTCAGCTGCATTCATGGTTCATCTGCATCCATGGCTCAGGCGGGGGCTGACTCCCCAAATAGAAGCTGCCTGGTTTGCCGTGTTAGCTGAGGTACCTTCACTTAAAGGGAAGCAGGGAAATGCAGCTGGCTTAACAGTGCATCCATAAGAGCTGTGTCCTGTGACTGACCCTGAGCTTCTGCATCATCCCTGTGCACCAGCTCTGATCTGGGGACTCTCAGTGCTCATTCCTGGTGCCCTGAGGGTCCCTATCAGAGCACTGTGAAAAGGGAAGGGGGAAAATGAGGAACTGAGCCTGTCCCATCTGCCACTGCTGTGCTTGCCATGACCCCATTGGCTCCATGAGGCACTCTGGGATGTGCAGGATGTTTGCTGGCTTCTGGGGAAGCTCATGGGAAGCTCCAGAGCCGTGTGTGTTCCCTGCCTCCTCTTCCCCTCCTACAGGCCCTTCCCCTGCCCTGCTGCTCCTTGCCTGGCTCCTGTGGCTGTGGCCCTGCCGATGGGCAGCAGTAGGAATGTAGATGCTTTGGCTGCTCTGGGGGCTCTGCTCCAGGCCAGGAGCAGTGTCTGTGCCCCAGGAGGGATCCCGTAGGTGCACAGCGGGACTCAGGTGGGCTGAGGAAGGTGAAGGACATATGCTCTGCGGGCAGGAAGAAGGAACAGGATGCTTATGGCACCTCTCAGATGCCTGCCTGGTGATGGGAGCACAGGAGCACCCCACGCCTGCTGTGACCTGGGAACAACCCTGCCCATCAGAAGGAAGGGCCATGTGCAAGCTCTGCTGGTCCAGACCCCGCGGGTCTATCACCTCTTAGAGCAGAGTGTGGAATGCACAGCAGGGAATGCCACCAGCTACTTCTGCACTGCAAGGAAGAGGCTCCTTTTGGAAATCCAGATGTGCTCCGTTCCCATTCCAGCACATCCCTCCTGTTTCTGCACTGCAGGAGGGCCCAAGCTTCCGTCCCCCCTCCGCCTGCCTCTCTGCATGCCCTGTGCGGAGCAGGAGGAAGGAGATGGGTCCTGTTTCTCCCTCACGGCAGGTCCCATCTCAAGCTGTTTGGACACTGGAGGATATCTCCGTCAGTTCCCAGAGATTCAGCCTGGAAGTGCTGGCCCGGCATGAGGACATCAGCAGCGATGTCTCTGGAGAGGCTGCCTTTCAGGTCACCGCCTGGGTGGGGATTGCCCAGAACAATGGAAAGCACTAGCGGAGAATTCCAAGGCTTTCAGCTGAATAAACACGGTGCTGGGGGTTGCAAAGGAACCGAAAAGGCTTGGAGACGGCTCCGGGATTTCTGGAAAACCCCGACCGGAGACATGAGCTTGAATAAACACAGATGTGATGGGATCGGCTGAGGGACCTGCGGGGGTCAGTCAGGAGAAGAGAAGGCTCAGGAGGGACCTGATGGCTCCCTACAAGTGCCTGACAGGAGGATGGAGCCAGGAGGGGCTGGGCCCTGCTCCCAAGGAGCGAGGGACTTGGACAGTGGAATTGATGGAGCTCTGTTGGTGAGAGGCTGTTGAAGTCTTGCCGAGGCCAGGGATGGAGCTGCTCATTCCCTCCTGTAGCTGCAGAAGTCTCTGCCCTCAGTCCTGTTCTCAGGCACCTCCTCAGTTCAGGTTCATATTCTGGCTCTTATCTCCTTAATGCAAAGGAAAGAAGAGCCTGAAAACCAGTGCACGAAGCATTGATTCCCCTCTTAAGCCAGGTGAAGGGAAGGAGTAACTTTTCATATTCCAAAACAGAGAGAGGCAAAGATTTCCTGAGCTTCTGCTCAGCCAGGGCTGGTGGGAAGGCAGGCTGCCGTGGGACGGCACCATTCCCTTGGGATTTGAACTCCCATGAGTGGTTGCAGAGCATCCTGTGAGCTCTACTGCTGGGCAGGTGGGGAGGGAGCCGAGGCACCTCTGCTGTGGCTCTGGGTGCTGCAGAGGGACACTGGCTCTGACCGGTGGTCTGCAGAGCAGGGCTGTTGTGTGTGTCCTGTGGGAGGACGTAAGCAGTAAAAGGCCCCGTCTGTGCTACCTTCTGGGCTGTTTCCTCTCCCTAACAGAAAAGCAGAGAGCAGCCGTGTAGGAATTGCCAGTGGACGTGTATCCTCCCAGCCAGCGAGTGCCAGTCTCTTGTTCTGCTGCAGTGTCAAGGCCAGGCTGGATGGGGCTTGGAGCAAGCTGCTCTAGTGGAAGGGGTCCCTGCGCGTGGCAGGGGCTGGAGCTGGAGGAGCTTTAGGCTGCCTTCCAACACAAATCAACCTGTGGTTCTGTTCTGTGACTCCTCCCTTAGCTCTGCTCTGTGTGCACTGGTGCGCACTGGTGCTGGCCTGTGCACGGGGAAGATGTGTAAGCCTGGGCAGAGGCGGCTGATGGGCAAGGCCCTGGGATGCTCCCTAACGCTGGTGGAGCTCCCTTGTCCCTCCTGCCCGCTCTGGATGCAGGCTGGGGCTGCCGATCCCTCAGGAAGAGCTCGGTGCTGGGCTCTGCCGAGGGGGTGGTGGGCATCCGGCTAAAATTATCCCAAACACCCACAGGACTCGGGAGCTGCCAGCCTGGTTTTTAAGGAGGCAGCGGCAAGCCGAGGCTGAGCTTCGTGCCTCTGAAGCAGTGATGGACTGTGGGTCTGCAGCATCCAACCGCATCTGGCACCAATCCCCAAAGCCTTTCAGTGAGAGCATTTGGAAGTGGGATCCCCCTCGTTTGGGGCTTGGTACAGGAGAAGGTGGTGAAGCAGGAATGACACTGGGGGAGCTCGGCAGCGTCTCAGTGCTCACTGGA